TTAATTCGAACGAAATGAATTTCTAAATAAATCCAAAGACTTTTAAATTCTTTGAAACTGATATATATGTAAAGATAGTATACTTTCTTCAGGTAGATTTGCCGCGCGTCTCATGACCCTCCCTTCCATTGTCCTTTGTTATTTACAAATTCTTTTGTTACCTACAAATCAGGCTGTTAATATTTGGAAGAGAAACGGGTAGTAAGATATAAAACGTAGAAAAGAAAGTTAGCACAAGAGATTATACGGATATTCATAATAGATAATAAATAGTAAATAAAATTTAAATAACGTGAATAATAAACGTAAATTGTCGTTTCTTTCTTCACAGGTAAGACTAATTAGCATTAATTAACAAATAAAGATTTATTACTTTGTTCACAGAGAAACATATTTTCGTTTATCACCTCACACAATTAATCCGATATATATATATATATATATATATATGTATAAAGCATCATCAAAATAAGGGGATAAAGATAAACGCAGATATACTGGAATAATTATAGAATTATAAAATTTGCTAGAACTTTGCGTTATACCCGGAGACAGAACTTTGCACTCCATTCTAAATTACAACATTCATCCGGTCCTACCTGCTTGAAATTAAATATTCGACCACACAGAATAACGTGTACTACTTGCCTACCTATAATCTGTATTTAAAAAATAGCAAGAAGATCATTCCTATACACACACTCCATGACTATCTCTCATACCACCAGAGTGCGAAAACAAATAGGAAATATGCCCCGAGGCACTTGCGATACCCTAACTCAAGCATGTAAGATTCTTAATTAATAAGGAGTACGTACCAATTGCTATAATCGATTGTCAAGGCTAATGATTATTACGTAAATGACTAAAGCAAAAAGTACCAGTACATGCTACAATAGAATACATGCGCACTAGTAATATACGAGTATTTCCATGCAATATGTTGTAAATCTACTACACAAAACGATATAAATGATAATATATTAGTATAGTAGTAGCACAAAGTATGAATTAAACCGATGAAAGAAGAAGATCCTATCCTGAGCTAATAAAAATAAGAATGCACCATGGATATAGACAATTAAAAATATGCCACCTGCGAATGAATGCAAAAGAGGAATTGCTTATGGTCATGCTCGTCAATAACTTATTTAAAAAATTATAATCAGTAACTTGCGCTGATTCGACCCTTCCACCATCATGGCATGATTGAGCACTAAAGGTATTTTAAATTTGTTCATTCACTATTTAAAAAGTTCTGCGATGGTTCCAAAACACTCGTCCACGATGGAAGTAAAAATTGAAGGAGTATGGATCCATAGAAAGTTGAAAACTATGTAGTTTGATATATAAGTAAGTTAAAAATGAAGCTCAATTTCATTGTAGGCTGATAAGACACGATCATAGTGATGATCAGTAAAAAGACAAACAAATTTTTATTAAATTTAAATTAATAGAAAAACTGTGAAATTATTAGGTATGAAATTTAAAAATTCACTTACCAATATTCTTTTATAAAAGAAAATGTATTTATCATTCGATTATCTTCATTGATGCACTGACTCTACTATGCGAATAGTGTGACAGTATGAAAAGAAAAATAATTTTAAACTTTACAGGAACAAATCATAACTGTGACTGACTGCTTTGCTCCCAGTAGATTTAACTGCATATGATACTAAATCTTAAATCGCGAAATATGGATGAAATTAAATTAACGAACAAAGGATCCTTCTAATAGAAAAATAAAGTTATTACTATAATAACTTTGTTCTTCTTAATAATGAAAGATTTTTTAATGAAAAATTATTATAATGAAAGATTTTTTGAATTATGAAGAAAATGTTTAAAAAAGAAATTTACTTACTGTAGTCTTTGCTGATCCTTTGCAAGATGAGCATCCTGCCTCAGAATGATGACAAATGATTTTTCTTTTATTGAACCTGAAAAAAGGAAACAAAATTATTAGTATCATTGTTATATAATAAAAAATTATTAAAATTATTAAGGAACAGTCTACAAACAAATTTACTTACCAGTTTTTGTTGATCTTTTGCACGATGACCTTCCTGTCCTAGGATCATGAAGAATATGTACCAACACTGACTCCACATCGCGAATTTATATTGCATCTAATTTTATTTAATCAGATTATTTTTAAAATAAATCAAACGGATTACGAATAAACACTGCTTCTACTTCATATATTAAATTATATATATATATATATACACGAATACTGAATTTAATACATCGATCGATCACAATTATAAAAACAAAATCATTAATCAGTGTAAAAGCGAGAAAAATATTAATATTATAAAAATAAAGCTAGAAAATAGAAGACAAAAAAGTGCGCAAAAAATCGCGCATTCCGTTATCAACTGATATATTGGAATGTACGTTAGAAAAAAAACTACTAATTATCTGTAACTATGCGAAGCGACAAGTTTAAACTCCGTATAAACTCGTTATATCTTCCAAGATGGCGAAGGAACCTCTAATAAGAAACAGAAAAGACTCCTATAATTTGATTACGTCACATTATTGCGGATACAACGCAAGTCAATGAAAATATTATTATTATATTCATTTAGTTAAAAACAATAAAAATATATAATAAAAATATGTGAAAGTATCAATTGTAATTAATTCGATTTTAAATATAAACAAAAATTTTCTTTCCTAATTAAATTTTAATATAAATAAAGAAATATAAAATAGACTCACACATGAGTAAAAGCGTATGCAGTACATCCGTATACTTTCTATATTACGCGCGAAATAATGATTAATTAATAAATCCAATAATTGGAATGATTTATCTATTTACGTATTTCTCTATTTATCCACATCTTTAATACGTTTCTACATGTATTTGGGGAAGAATAATACTTTGTCGAATTTTTATTTATAAATATTGAATAATAGGTTATTTATAATTATAGTAATGTGTATCATAATTTGGTAATAATTAGATGGGAAATGTTTGACTTTCGAAAAGGAGAAAATATATATACGCAAACAACCACACACACATATACAAATATCTAAACGTGGAATGTTCAAAATTAATATACTCGTCGTAACAACTTAGAGAATTGAAAATAATTATAGGGAAAATAATTATACGCGGGAGAATGAACATTTTCCATACATATTTTGTCATCATGTTTAGGAGATTTATTTCTACAGGTATCAAATTAAATTGATTAATTTTCTCATTTAGTTTGGATTGACAAGGTATCCGTTTAGACAGTTTTTAAATTCTTGTATCATATTTTTAATGTTTCGATATTTTAATATAATAGATCGAAAAATTACAAGCTTTGTGAGGTCCATTTCACAGATGACATAATACGCATGAGCAACGATCCAATTAGTTTCTTTATTCATCTAACGATGAATTAATCAGTTTGTATAACTTTGCGATACAGGCTGCAATCAAGTCTCATCATCTTGTTAATTGTAGGTAATTAGAATATTTTTTCAATTATACACTTACTTTATTTTATTAATCAATTGTTAAATAGACGACTTTCGCGCGTTAATGTTGACACGACATGGCATCGTTTCGTTTAACAAATATCTGCGAAAGGAAAATCGGCGTCTCGGCGTTTCCTGGTGTTTCTATTTTGAATTATCTAGTCTTATATTTGCAGTGTCAGTACTTGTTTTACTTTTAACGTTTTTATTATTTTTATAAAAAATTAGTGGAAAATCGTCGTACACCAAATCATGGCTTTTTGAAAGTAATGCTATTTTTTCATTGGGCTAATGCTTCATTTTTATCTCGTTTTTAAACGTAAGTAACTAGTCTTAGGGAATAAGGATGACGATATCTATATGATAGGTTTTGTGAAATTTTGACGAAAGCTTTTTCTATTTACTGTTATTTTATTTCTGTCAGTTCTTTTCCTGTCAAATATGTAATATCATGCGGAAGATACAATCTCTTTTCATTGGAGAGGTTTCTCCTAGTAATTTCTTAGCTCACCTTTTTTATTAACGCGAAGTATGTTGCATGACAACTAAGTCGAATTATTGTATTTATAAGATAAGTGAACTTGGCAAAGTTTAAATGTGAAGTTAAAATATATCTAAGATAATTGATAGAACGAAGAGAATACCTACAATTTTTCGATTTTTTTTTCTGATCTTATGTTTAATTCAAATATATGTGTTCTTATACGATTCTCGTGATTGGCTAATTTTTAGCGCTGATGAAGAACGTTGAGTAGTTAGTAATTGGTTCTTAGGAGTACATTGGTTAGCAGTTGCATATTTAAACATTGAGCTCGTTGATTGGACAGTAGTTGCGGGTTAATAGGATAATGTTGTTTGATCGATCTTATGAAATAATATTTGTGTCTGGTGTATTTTGTCGGAACGAATTCATTTCATTCATATAGGAAGATTTAGCTGTATTTAAAAATAAAAATTTGAGAAATAGGGTTTACGATATTGCGAGGTAAGATGTGATTTAAGCTTTCATGTGGCCGAGTGAGAATACTTTTCTGTTTTTTTCCACTCCTAGTTCCTTTTTTAGGAATGTTTGCAGTTTCTAGTATTTAACCGGCTTTGTTAATGATTCGAAATGAAAATGTGGAGAGGTTTAAATTTTTTCGCCAATGACATAAACGGTAATGATCTTAAATGGGTTCGACATATATTCATTTTCATTTATAAGAGAAAAATCTTGTTGAATTGTGCGAGCGAAATTATAATATTCATTAGTACATTATCTTTCCTTCATACTAGCTTCTTTTTTAAGCAATCAAAAGAACGGTTTTTATGATTTTTTGATCTTTTGAAATTATACAATATGTGAGATTTAATAAAAGTTTAATAAAAGATTAAAAAAGAAAAAAAAGAAATAAAGAAAAAAAACTTGTCCAATTCAAACACACTTTTTCGTAATTACGCTTATACTCTCCAAAACCGTAAATCTATGTTTTCTACAAATGCAAACCTGGTGAATTAGTGGCGCTGTTGTCAATAAACGCGTAAGGTTAAATTAGTTTAACATTATATTTAATGCTTATTTAAAAAGTAGATTGATAGGTGCGTTTGATCCTATAATTTTTTAAGTGATATGCTTTCGTTGTGTATAACAAAAATGTTGAGTTAATACCAATTTACAGAAAATCATTTGCATAACTGTACTATCTACATATATATCATAAAATGATATTTTACTCATGCGTTTGTTGTGAATTATTCGATATCAACGATACACTATTTTTCTATTAACTGCAAGGTAATTCTTCATTTTTATATTATTATAAATAACTTTAGTAAAAAAATTGTATTTTACGTTACTATATATTTTTTTTCTTTCAGTCATTTTCTTTGTATATTATTGGTAATATTGATCATCATTAAAGATAATAAATATAAAAACCGTAGGTCGTTTTTTTTCAGGGAATCATTACTAATTAATCCATCCAACGGAAAGGGTAATGTCGTCGTTGAATTTAAAAGAGATTTCAATGCCACGTTTAGGTTATCTATTAAACAGAAATACAAGAAGCAAAAGATTCTATCAAACATTTAAAAAGTTGGTTGAAGGACATTATGAACAGGTCCAGTTAATATATTGGAGAGTAAATATGAAGGAAGCAATTAAACGAAGTAATAAGGCAAAAAAAAATAGTGATAGGCTGTAATCACAAGGGAAAGACTTTTTGGAATGTTTATATCTACAGTTATTAATTTCTTTGTCAGTAAGTATGAAAACATTGATAAAAAGTAATTATAGCTGTAAGTTGATGTAGTCTTCAAGTTACTTGAGACGTAAAATTTGCTCGTATTAAAATAAATCAATTTTACTTTAATAAAATTTTCTTCCTTTAATTGTTTATATATATGATGTGGCAAAAAATACTCTTACTGGATCATAGGAAGAAATATAGATATAAAATTTATTTATCGACCGACAAATATTTACCTAAATTTATTATGTAACATAAACTTAGTTAATTGCGTGAGGGTACTGTTTTACAGGACCTATGCCATTGTTTCTATCACCTGTGCATAGATCCATCATTATATATTGTCATGTCACTACATTCATTATATTATTTATTTGTAGAGTACTCTGATCATAGCAATGTTAAATATTTGGATCCCAAAAAGACACCATAATACAAAAATGTATTGACAAAAATAGTATAAAGTAAAGGAAATGTTTCTACAAGGAATATTTTGGGAATGCTTCTGTGACCATTATTTGTGTTGAGACGCATATATATCGCACAAGTAAGTACATACTATATATTTCTAATAGAGATAGAGGATAGTTTCTTCTTTATGCTCTTGAATCATAACCAAATTTAAATGTTGCAGAAATTTTTTACTTTTGCTTATATTCACGCACTTTCTTATATTATAAAATGAGTTGCAGTGAAATCAAAATGTATTCAAATCTATCATTGCGCAAGGTGGTACACTCTTCGAGAAACAGAAGTATTTTTTAAAGTAGTTGAATATGCACCTGTCTTATGAAAATTTAGCATTTATTATAGGTTTCTTCTATCAGGTGCAAATTTATTTTGAAATGATATTTTGCTTTGTACATTGTACTTTATTGGTCATTTCATGTCCATTGAGCAATTGACATCCGGAAATCTTACGGCATTTTTGATGCCAACATAGGTAGTTCAAAGGTTCTCTCTCTAGTATTTTGTTATTCTTACTTACAAAATTTTATATAAATTGCTAATAATTGTATGTGAATTTTATTTTATAGTACTTAAGTATGCTATCATTGCCAATGATGGTGGGAGAAAAGACATTAATACATTAGGAAAACTCTTAAAAGATCTGAAGAAAGCATTATCTACAGTCAAGGACGTGAATTATTTAGAAAACGAATTAAAAGAGAAAATCCAAAACCATAAAGGATCGGTAATTTTATAAGCTCGTATAAATAAGAGATAGATGCCAAAAAATAAAATAGATTAAGTAAACTACCTGGAAATATAACATTTTAGAGGAAGAATCGAATCTTAACAGCAAAATCATGGAGAAAGAACAATGAGTTAAAGGATCATTCACAAGACGTTTTTCTTCAGAGGTAGCTTCTCATGTTGTATTGCAAAAAAAAAAAAATAGAAAATTTTCAATATTTAGAAGATCATCCTCAAATTGTCGACCATGAATTGCACAAGTAAAAATTAATGCGCAAAAATTACATGAGCATAATGTAATCCTTTAATGCATAAGTATACTTTGAAAATGAAGTAGAAGAATACTGTGAATTTCACAGTCATATTGACAAGACGTTGAAAAGGAGCCGCCTGAAGAAAACAAAGTATGGAAATGGAATAAAGGATTCAGACCAAATAATCTGGATTTAGACCATCGAAGAAAAGAGCCTTCAACAATACGGAACAAGCAACAAGGATGTTACACAAAAGCGAGCCTCTTGTGAAAGTCAAATTTAGTAGGTACAAATGATACGTCAGCTTACATACTGCAATGGAATATTCTAAGATATACACATCAATAAAGAAGTAAGAAGTAACGTTTTATATCAAAAATCAAGCTCGGAATTGCGACAAATAGAAACACTGAATAAAATAAGCATTAAATCACAGTTTTAAGATAATCGAAAGGATGAAACTATTACATATATGTAATCTAATATTCGATCACCGATCTAACGAAATAATGATGAAACGCAGAATGGTACCATGAAGAAGGATAATCTGCAACAGCATAGTAATAACACAAACGCATTCTAGTAAAATCACTTGTCAACTGATTTCTTTTTAAACGTAATGGTTAGTGAAATAATAATCGAAAAAAAGAAAGTTACTCAAAATTCACTTTTAGATTGCAATTAACAAGTAGGTAATATACTTTGATACGAATTTTAAATAAGCCAAACTTTTCATAAAGCTCATATATTATACAATTTCCAAAGATTAGAAAATTTCTAATAGTTTTAGTCTACCATCAAAAAATTCTTAGGATTGAATTCTTTAGCATCAATTATATCAATTACGCTGGATGAAGGACTTATATTATTTATATTAGCTATATTCAAAATTTTATAAAGCGCTCTTTTGATCGTTCAAAAAAGTAATTGTGAAAGAAAGATAAAGTACGAATGAATATTATAAATTCGCCCACACACTTCGACAAGATTTTTTTCTTGTAAATAGAATTGAATATATCAAATATATTCAATTGATATATATATATATATATATATTTAGTCGTTAATTTATGGAGTAAATTTAATATTACTATAATGTCTGATATCGGAAACAATGTAATGTTCATATCTGTCGCACTGCCTGTGATTTTATCGGATTAAAGCAAAAATATTACATCCGAAATATTCGAAAAGTTCTCAAAAATTTTTCTTCCCTGGATATAATATAACATCGGCACCGTTAATCGAATGGATGTTTAAATTGTTTCAACTATTGTATAAACGAACGTCGCTACTAGAATTATTACCTTACATTTGCTAATTTTCGTTATAATACGTGCCTATCAATAAAACGTCTATCGGTTATATGTCATCATATATAATGAAACTTTAGACCTTTTATTTGATAAAGCTGATAAAATTAGCTTAAGTTAATTCAAAATTCAATTGTCCTTAGCATTAACTTTCTGCATGAATAAAATTAACTACATAAAAATAGAAGTAACAGCTATTCCCAGCAGTATCACTATTATAATTTCAGAATTTATCCAGTAGCTTATTATGTTTATAGTTATCCATTAATCTATTGAGCTAAAGAATGTACAATATCATAGTAAGAGAAGTATGAATTACCGACAAGAATTCAATATAGCAATCTTTAATATCGACATATGAGAATCGCAAGTGTAAACTAAATGCTGACGTCATATATATCAATGGAGCAATCAGAAAAATCCGGATGTCTCACAGGGGACGCTATTATGATTGAAAGGATGACTCTGGTGACTACAAGTTCGGCGTAGTAGGGATAGACTTTTGAACCTATTCGTCTTTGGCATGATTCAAAGATCGAAGAAATTGAAAAATTCACCCATCGCTTAGAAAAATTCTGCGACGGTCCTCCAACACGTCTACTTCACAGTCTACTACGACAGTCACGCGAACAATAAACTCTATGATATTTCTTTTTATAAAGAAACAAGTAAGCAAAAATTAAAATAAACGCAGAGCTCTCTTTGATTTCAATTATGTTGATCCTTGCATAGTGAAAATAATGTGCCAGAATAACAAACTCTTAGAGTACAATAGAATAATGGCTCAATTGCTTTTAGATGAAAACAAATACAAGAGCAATAATATCATTATTATAATAAAAAATTATGAAAACTATTTAAGAAATATTTAAAAGATCAAATTATCTATCACGTAAAACAACCTACTGACAGAAAAATGACTATTATAAGTAATTTGCTCATATGAGCTATTGTATTTATATTATTAAATTACAAGTCTTGAAAATTATTCCTGAAAGTAGCACATTAAAAATAATAATATTCGAAAGTATTGATCTTAAATAATATATTATATTTTTCGTTTAATCAAATCAATAGAAGCAAATAATAATTTTGTAATATGCCAAAGTATGCTATCATCGAGACATCATTATATTTTCATTCCATAAAATTGATTATTACACGAAAATGAGTAGTAAATCTCATATCAAATCAAAAAATGAGCGAGTGCTTTTGCACATAAAATTTATTTTCGCATAATCGGTCGATTATTACTCCGCAAAAGAAACAGAATTGAATGAATAACTTTCGCAACAATTTACTTTCTACTTTTTACTGCTTTACATATCTCATGTGTCTTTCTCACATTCTCTCTATCTGTGTCTATTTCAGAATTTATCCGTTAGCTTATTATGTTAATAGCTATCGATTATTCTATTGAGCTAAAAATTTTACAATATCCTAGGGAGAAAAGTATGATTTGTCGACACTAATTTAATATAGCAATCTATAATACCGACATACATCAACAGAGTAATTTAAATACCGTTGTCTTTTATATCAGAATCGTGTGCCTGGGTGTGTGCAGACAAAGTGATTAACAGTCAAATAGCGCATGATCTTTCATTTATGTGAGTGGGGCGTTTGTTTATGGAAGAAGAGAAAGGGCTAAAATCTAGAATGTGTAAATAACATGGAAGTGTAGATAGGTCGTCGTAGGCAACGAAATACCAAATAGGAAAAAGAGTGTACAAAATTACCGAATGGATATGTACGAATATGAGTAGAGATGAGAAGCGTCATGGGGTGTACGTGAAGAAAGAACTACGGAGGGTAGTTTTGAGTAGACCAAACGAAGAATAACTAAAAAGTCCTGAATGGACCAACGAAAAGTAACGAGAAGTGCGGCACAGAGTAAAGAGTTTATTATCTTAATTGTAGTATCCTTATCAATAAAATTCTTATGAAGCAAGAGTAAGTGATCCGAGTTAGTTCGTTTGTTTTTTCCAGGTAGGTTTACGAAAAATATCATACACATACGTATTTACAAATATATATAATGTGTATATATATATGTTTTAATATAAATGTCAGTGAAATATAAAAGTGAAATTATATGTGTACAAATAGGACTAAGAAGGGAAATGTAAATACGAAATCTCGAGATGATTCGTTCGTAAAAATTTAAACAGTGCGAAGGATCGACTACGCCAATATGCTATTGGTGCAGTGGATATGTTTAAAGTACGTGCGAGAGAGTGAGAGAGAATGGGATAGTTCAGGTTCTCAAGAGAGGGAGTAAATTGGTGAAAGCGATAGACAGTGAATGTGGAGGAAGTAAGAAAGAGTGTGATGGAGAGTGAGCAATATGAATAAAAGCAGATGGAACTGGCCAGAAGCAAGCAGACGAGTGTTAAAAGATAATAACGATCACCTTGGAATCACCCACGTGCATGAATTTTATTTCTATCTGTGTGTGTTTTGTTTAACTCTTTTATTTTTATTTACTTATATTCTGTTTTATATTGGAAATCTTAAATAACAATTAACAAACAAGTTGGAAGCTTTAGTTTGAATATTTGTAGTCTTCTTATCTAGTCCATTTTTAAAAAAGACGATGCTAAGATGTGATTGGCCTATTTCGTTCATCCATCCTTTATCTCTTTCTCCCTCTCTCTCTCTCTCTCTCCTTTCTTTTGTCTCAACATTCTGTCAAAGAATTTACATACCTTGTAGTAACTTTGTAGTGGAACTGATCGTGTAAACCATAATCGTCATTCGAAACTTGATTATGAAAGTAACGTAGCAACGGTGAAGTTGCCTTCGTAAACCGATTATACATGAACAAAATAGTAGTAGTACAAAGTGAGGGAAAGGGAGAGAAAGAGACTTCTCCTCGGCGCTTTCATCGACGAAAGAAAGAAAAGGAGCTTCAAATTGCCGACTAAACTCCCTAACAATGTCGTAAAGTTCCTACTAATATCATAAAGCGAAGTATTTCTATTGATTTATCCAATATCATAAGATAGGAAGGATACGTAATGGTTTGGAGGGGAGTGAGGTTTGTTTGAAGGAGGTCCGAGAGAAATCCGAATGTGAAGTGGAGAATCGATAAATGACGTATATAACAGAGAGAATTGGAATATAAGATCGCGTGGTTGGATCCACGAGAAACCACGAGGACGTGCAAAAGTAGAAGGATAACGAGATAAGAAAAAATGAAATGCTGACGTTCCGGAAAGTCGTAGAATAACATGGCTACTATATCGTTCGTTTCGTCTGTTACTTCATTTATGACTCGCCCAGTATTCCTGATTACGCCCCTTCCCTCTTTCATTATATCTCCCCCTACTGGCCATCTTTTCTATCTCTTCTTACTCTATCTATCTTTTCTTAGTTTCAGCCGGTCTACTTCCACTCTCAACTTGTTACCTACCTAATCTCCTCTCTTCTCTTCTCCACTCCCTTCCTCTTCACTCCTCATCACCATACTTCACTCCTCTTTTCGCCGTTCTTTATCATACTCTTCCACCTTCTCCTCCTCCTCCACAGTCGTTTCTCTATTTGTCTCTATCTCTGTTTCTCTTCTTCATACTCTCTATCTACTCAACTTCTTCTATATTCGTCGAAACAGAGATTCACAATGGCTTCACGATCATCTGATGGCGTTAGTAGTTTTCTCGTCTATTCATAATCTTCCTTACATTCTCCACGTCCTCCTCCATCTTACACTTCTTGCCGTCATCTCTCGCTATCTTCTCGCTGAGATCCGCATGAAAAAAACTTTTTATATATACATGCTCTTCGCAAATTGCTCTCGATCATTATGCTCTCCTGACCATAATGGATTCTCTCCTATCTTGAAAATTTTATACTCTTTTAGCGGAATGAGGAAATGATATACAATCGGAGGATTGCATTTTAAAAGTTCGATAGAACAAACATTGATCCGCTGTGTTAAATCAAAGTTTTACTAATGATACAAGAGTGGAAGGGGAGAAGGAGAGAGAAAGGTAGATAGAGTGGGAGGGAGAAAGAGAGATAGATAATATAAATATATTACATTATCGTACTTATGTAATTATGTGTGAAATTAATACGAGATAAAATATTAATTTGGAAAATAAATGACAATTATATTTTTCATCAAATAGATAAAACCAAGTATTGATGATATATATATACGTATAATAAAAACTTTTTGATACGTATATATATATATACATATATACATATATATATATATACGTATCAAAAAGTTTTTATTATGTTATAATTATATATATCAAATGACGAAACATAATGGTTTCTGTTCACTTGATACCCATCAAAAAATAAGACTAAAGGAATAGATTGAAACATAGATTATGTTATGGTGTAGAAAAGTTGTGAATATAGTGAGAGAGCACATTTAAGAAAAAAATGAATAAAATCGGAGATGAAATATTTCAATTTGTTGTTGCGATTGGAAGAAGACAGGAACGATATGAATATATTTATTTTTACTATTTATTTATATACTCTCTTTCTCTTTTATTTTTTTTTATATAAGTTTGTTTTCAAACAAAGTTTTATAATTAATTGATTTTCTAATGAATTTTATATTGATTGATGAAATAAACGAGATATTGATATTTAGTACAATGATAATCGAGAAAAACAGAGAGAGAGAGAGAGAGAGAGAGAGAGAGAGAGAGAGAGAGAGAGAGAAAATGAGAGAGGAAGAGAGAGAAAGAAAATATGTTGAGATTTAAAAAATTTCAATTCGTTCTTACAATTCTTTCATATGAATTTCTTTTCGAAAATATTTATTTTATAATGAGTGAATTAACGATATAAGATAAAGATAAAGATTTTTAATATGATGATATTCAATAAAAGAATGTTATAAACGAAATATGTATAAGACAATTTGAATAGAATGAAGACAACAAGAAAATGGTATTAAAGATCCCATTACTTTGATATGCCGCAATAAAATAAATTCATTTTGTGAGGAAAAAGATCGAGGATCTGTATCGTTCCAGTTGACACCTGTCTACATATAAATCAATATTATAATTACGAAAAAGTAACATTGTATCTTCATTT